ATTGTTGGAAGTGTTACCTGATGATTCGAAATCCTTTAAAAAGGATTTTGGTGAAATAAATTATTGTAATGGTACCTTAAAGTGTCTGTTTTTCATTAAATATATATATATATATATATATATATATATATATATAAATTAATTGATTTAAAATATGTTTTTTTCGCTACACGTTTCAAAATGGAAGCTAAAAGCTTCGAATTTAATTTAGTAATTAAATTAAAGACATTAGTTCCATTTCATCCTCAAGCGAAACAAAATTAAATTTTGAAACATGGTTAGAACTGTGTAGCGAAAAAAAACATATTTTAAATCAATTAATTTATAATATTAATGTTCTGTAAATTTAAATTGAGCACTATTTTGTAAAAATAAAAATATCTATAAGAACATCGGATTATATATCTTACTGATCTTTCTTTATATATATATATATATATATATATATATATATATATAATATAAAAAATTCACACAGGCGCGTGCACATACACATTAATTTAAAAAAAAATATATATGTGGGTGTGTGTTTAATATTTATACAAGTATGTATCTGGATATTTGTTTGTAATCCCCGTTGTAGACATATACTCTGGCAAATTTGTGTTTCTTCAACAAACCTAGAGCCAACCCTCGGTTTATACTGTCACAGTATATCGTACGCTATAAACCCCTCCTCGACAAATCAACCATGTTGAGATTCGAACCCGGATCTCATAGTGGAACGTAGACTGTTCTAACCACTCTACCACGCGCCCGCCTATATCGTTTGTGGAGAAATTGTTTTGAATATATGTTTTCCAATATATGTATATATATATATATATATATATATATATATATATATATATATATATATATATATATATATATATATATATATATATAATTGTATGCGTGAGTGCATGTGTTTTGTATATATGCGCATGTGTGTATATGTGTTTGTGTTTGTGTCTGTGCATGTGTAAATATTTGTTTCGAATTCCTCGCACAGCAATGTGTTTCGGAAACTCAATCAATTCCGAGGTGACATGTTTACGTGGAATAACGTCATGTAACGTCATGTAACGCTAATGTTACGTCATTCAAACGTCCCCCTCTCACTCACCTACCTGATTGCTTGTCTCACTATTCTTCCTCCAACTGATCCTCTTCTCTTACTTCTCCTCCTCCTCCTCCCTCATTTTAAGCTGCATACACGTAACCACCATCCACTTCTACTCATTCACTTTGCTTTTGGCTTGTTGTGTGTGTGTTTCCTTTTTTTTTTTTTTTTTTTTCGTTCGTCATCCACCAACATCCCCGCTGCAAAAACCAGTGCTCGCCCCTAATCGTTGCAACAGCTGCAGGAGGTGGAGGAGAAGGAGGAGAAAAGGACCCGAGTTTTGTTTTGTTCTCGTGACAGAGTTATATGATATCCACCAAGTTGAAAAGATGCGGGAGACTCCCCCACACTTCACTTAAAAAAAGAGAAATGAATGAAACAGAAAATTTTAAGCGAAAAAAAGAAATGATAGGAAAAATAAATTAAAATTAAGAAGCAAAAAAACAAAAAAACGAAAACACACAACAACAAAAATCTAGGAGAAGTTAGTCGAAAGAAAAGATCACAAAAAACAGTTTGACACACAAAGAAAATAATTTTAATCCTTTTCAAATAGGAAAGACTATTTGTCAATCTGGAGAAATTGGAGGAAGCGACACAAATACACGCACATACACACAGATACCTCCAGGCGCACAAGCATATATATATATATATATATATATATATATATATATATATATATAAGCACCTATATATATGCATACACAAATATTCGCAATTATATATATGTGCACAAACATGCACAACACACACATATATATTCTGATATATATATATATATATATATATATATATATATATATATATTGCTTGTGTAGAGATTGAATACATAGAATTCATCTATCTCTTAACAAAAGAAAGAGAGAAAAAGAAAAAGTGCTGGAAACATTTGCACAACTGAGTGCATGTTGAAAAATTCTCCGCTTGACTTTGGTCAGATTTTAGGCAATCTTTTACCATCTACTAGTAGGCGCGCACGCACATGCGCACACATATTTTTGATAAATCAGGCTAATTGGAAAACTCTTTCATAGACTACGCGTTTCACTTTCGTTAGATAGGTGTCTTCTAGTCAGAATGATATATATATATATATATATATATATATATATATATATATATATATATATATATATATATATATATGTGTGTGTGTGTGTGTGTGTGTGTGTGTGTGTGGGTATGTGCGTATTTTAATATGAAATTGTTAATATCTGTTTGTTAGGATGGCGTTCCCCGTTCAGAATGAAAGAACAAAATTTTGTGATTTTTGTACTAAAGGCATAATTGTCTATTTGTTCAGGAGGCTTTTCCGGTCGGAATGAAAGAAGAAAACTGTGTGATTTATCTTTAGTTTTTTGTATTAAAGTCTCCAATCTTTGCTGGACTTGAAATTAGCCCACCCCGGCAGATCCCCGTTACACCTTCCACCAGCTCGCATACCACATTGTGCTACTATTACCTTTGTAATGGTTCGTGATATTATGTATGAGTCTGGTGAGATCAGTGAACTCTCAATACATTTTCTTCTTAGGGAATCTTTTTCTCTCCTGATCATACCAGCATTCATTAAGTTAAAATGGGTATCTGATTGTTTCGGTGAACAAAATGTTTATTATTTGTTCATACATATTCGCAACATATCTCTGTCATTTTCATCGCGTCTGTTTTGAGATTCATAGAGATTTTGTCGATGTACACCGTTTGTGTACTAATGTACTCACATATGTACGATGTACATATGTGTGTACAGCGATGTACGATGTACACACAAACACACACAGATATATGTTTGACTGGGGTAATGAAAAACTTTAACGCCTCTAAAAAGATACTGCTATCATTTAATCACCATGGAGAACTTTTCTGCCTTCAGTTATCATGGCTGATGCAACCACCAGGAGAGCAACCCTTTGTTACTTCTTAGTTTTGCACTGACATGTAGTGGAGAGATGATACTATATCAATTACTTCATTTATTACGAGGAAAATTGGTTCATTAGGTTGTATGAGAAAATTTTTCTCGTCATAATCCATTATGCACATTAACAAATCTACTACTCCTCTTTGCATTGAATATTGCTGTCATATCTGCTTTGGAACCCTTCGTATATAACTTGAGATTCTTGACAAAGGGTTTGGTATCTCGACTTCAGTGGCTTCCTTCATTCTTTTCTATAAACATTTTCATAGCTTTCCCACCTTCGTGCCTCGTCTGCATAAATTTAAACGCACTGCTGGATTGAAATCGAGTTTTTACTGGTCAAATAATTAATATTGTTAATAACAAATACTTTTTCACACCCAACCCAGTTCTGTGGAATCAGAATCAACGTTGAGTTTAAGCAAGCGAATGAGCCAATTGGAGTAAAGTGCCATGCAGATTTAAATTTTTCCCACTTGTAACGAATGCAGCTATCGATTTTTTTTGCATGCTAGCATGCTAGTTAACATTCGTGTCAGTCAGCTGTTGGCTCTCACGCTGGCCAATAGAATCTTCCTGCCTATTCGTGGCAGCCAGCTATAGGCTCTCACCCTGGCCAGTAGAAAATGGCCGCAAACTACATGAAAAGTGCCGTAGAAGCATGAAAAAATCAATTATTTCCACTATCGATGAGAGTTGGGAAATGCAAAGTCGGACTTGGCCTTCCCGCTAATCCGTTGAAAATTGCGGCCGTGCATTCGTTACGCACACACACACATCTTGCCTTATATATATATATATATATATATATATATATATATATGTATGTATTTATGATATAACCAATTTATATATATATATATATATATATATATATATATAAATTGGTTATATACACTATGTGAGTATACGTGTGTGTCTCCAGCTATGTACTGCACTTAGCGTGCTTCAGGTCAAGTCCACACAGGTGCAAATAAGGTACAAATATTGTATTACTCCAATAACTCAAGTAATATAGAATTGTTTGTCTCGAATTTTAGTTTTAGAAATTCTATCTTTTAACGTGACTTGAAACCCAATCACCAGCGCAGATAGAAAAAAATGTAATTCAATCACCAAGTGTTCCATGTATTCTTTAAATATAGCTTCGTCTTGTACACGCTAACAAATTATGTTAGGAAGATTAAGGTGCGCCAACTTATTAGACGCTTGTTGCTTTTACTGTGTATCGCTTTGGATTTGAAGTGTGTGTACACGTATTTATTTTTGTGCGTACACGAGTTGATGATTTTATGTAAATATTCATTTAGTGTATTTTATTTTTAAGAAATGTTTTTGCCTCCTCTTGGGTGCGAGAGGATCTAAGGTACATGACCAGAATTAAATTAATTTTATTTTAGGTTTTTAATAAATTTCTGTCTATTCCCTCTTGGCTTAATTCAAGAAAACAACTCCACTTCAAGTACCAATTGTTTGTCTCTTTGTTTAATTGGAATTGTTTTCGAATCCCAAATACTCTTCCTTTGACAGGCTGCTATGTTTACGCACTTCTTTTAGGAAGAAGTTAGTATCTGTCTCTCTACAAGGTCAAATACAACACAAGGTCGAATTAAAATGGAGCCTCACACGCACACGTGTGGATAGTGACAAAAAACCGCTGAAAATGACTGACTAATTCTTTAAAATAAAAAAGTAAATATCAGAATGTATTGTTGATTTGAACTTAAAAAAAATAACGCTAATCTGTTCATTTGGTCTTTATATTGATGGCTGTGGGACTGTTTTGGTCATCATCATCATCATTATCGGCGCTCCCATGACCGGGTGTGGTCGCAGGATCACTAACCTGCTTTCTCCACATGTCTCAGTAGACATTTACGCGTCCCGTGTCTTTGGTAATGTAGTCCATTCTTCTACTGGTTAGAAAACAGTCGATGTTTCCCGACTTGAAAAGAGATTACGCGCATACGTTGAAACACCGGTTTCCGTGGGGATCACCGAAGTTAAGCAACATCGAGCCTGGTCCGTACCTAGATGGGTGACCGCTTGTGAAGATCAGGTGCTGTAAGTTTGAATGTGCGTCTAGTGCAAGCTCGGAATTGTTAATCGGGAAGCCGATTTGTAATTCCTGTTGGGTCCGTTATATTCACATAGGCGCAAATACCCTCTTGGGAAAGAGACGTGAATCTACCGCTTCTCGCCACCAAAGTTATGGCTTAATTAGTAAATATTAGAATGCAAAAATGAGTTCAGTTTGCGTTCGACGTATAATCTGATTTACTCTAATATATACCTAATTAGTGCAGTCTTACTCTATTGACGAAATTCTTTCTTAACGGGAACTCCAAATGTAATTCTCGAGATATATATATGAATTTGTAGGTTTGATGAATTGGATCGTATTTACGATTCCAATGGAATAAATTATGACCATGGAATATTAATGTTTAATTTTATATATTATTATATATATATATATATATATATATATATATATATATATATATATATATATATATCATATTGTCAGGAAGAAAATGACTAACTATCGACACCGAAGCGTGAGACTCTGGACTTATGAATATGTTTTCCGCCAGGTGTATAAATAGCTGTGTTAGGCTACTGGCTGCAGTGAGTATTTGAATGACTATTGAGTGGAACTATCCAGTCGAATTAGTGTGAATTATTGCGCAGCGATGATTTGGGTTTTTATTTAGGATTAACCGGACGTTAAGCCGAGCCACGCTACTAACAAGGTATTCACTGAAAGGATTAGTTATCTTTGGTTCATTTTTACTTCTTTGTTCCTGTTAATTGCTTATTTGCGGTTGTAATTAAATATTGTTTTATTTAACATAGAAGTCTTGAGTTATACTTAATTATTAACGGCCACTGTACGTCACACACACACACACACACACACACACACACACACACACACACACACACACACACATATATATATATATCTTATAATTTTTTCATATAGGCAACAACAATTTACGAAGAAGATGCAACTTTTTTTCGGATCAATTTTTTGCACGTTTTGTAAATAATTGCTCTACTATCGGTACTGAGCCCACTTTTGAATTAATGCTGTGAACGTTAGAATTTATATATTATTTTCGTTCTCATTACATTCGGATATATATCTATATCTATCTATCTATATATATCTATATCTATATAGTAAGTACACACACACATACATATATATATATATATATATATATATATATATATATATATATATATATAGTAAGTACATATATATGTACGTATGTATAGTGAGTACATAAATATATGTATATATAGTAAGTACACACACACACACACACACACACACACACACACACACACACATATATATATATATATATATATATATATATGTAGGAAATGGACAAAGTCCGACAATTATTTTAAGACATCTTTTATGTTTATACATTCTTTTTATAGATACAAATATTTAAGTAAATGCTGTTTATAATAAACAGTATTGAACATCATTTACCGGCCTGAATGTCCGAGAAATATATATATTTTCTGTGAAAAGTTCTCGAACATTCAGGCCGGTAAATGTTATTAATACTGTTTATTATAAACAGAGCCTTTACTTAAATATTTGTATCTATAAAAAGAATGTATAAACATAAAATGTCTTAAAATATATATGTATGTATGTATAGATATATATATGATATATATATAGTATATATATATATATATATATATATATATATATATATATATATATATATATATATAGTAACCTCTACGAAAACGCTAAAAAATCAGCATACCGTGATGAAAACATGCTCCAAACGTAATGAAATCATAGTTTTATCGTCAAAATCGTTATGTTATTATTAAGATGAAGGGTCAAAGTATTTTGGGATTATTTAATTATTTTTCTTTTACTCCTATTTAGAACATTCGAAATTTTGATTAAAATCTTGTTTTTCTTGCGTCAGCGGTTGTGCTAATTTTCAGCATAGCAAATTTGACCTCTTTTTTCCAGTGACAGATACATTCATTTGGAAATTGTTGCATAAGTCAAATAATTGTTTGATTTTAATGAAATTTTCAGGACTTATTCACAAATAAATTAAATTATTTTGAAATAGTTTTTTTTTAGAAAATCTTGGTTAAAATATATATTTTTACTTGTGTTTCAGACTCTTATTTAATTTTATGTAAACTTGAGAAATTCAACGTGATAATTTTTAGTGACTAAATTAGTTAAATGTAGAATTTTAGAAGAATTTAAATCACCGGATTCTTTTAACAAAATCGATCTTGATGTTACCGAAAATCTATTCTAAATCGAAAAATAAAAAAAACGAATTAAAACTAAGACATTATTTAATTATAGAAGCTTTTAATTACTTTTATGAATAATATATATCAAAGACAATATTGTCTGAAGAAAAAAAGTCGATGAAAAATGACTTTTTACAAGACTTATTTTCATTGTTTTACAATTTTAAATTGAATAATTTCTAAAAATTTTAAGTCTTTTAAAATTTATTTTCAATGTGATAATTTTTAGGAAATATTGTTATAAAGTAAAACTATATGTACTAATCACATACTGTAAAGATAATTACAATCTGTCGACCCAAAATATTTTTAAAAGAATATCGATTTGTTTTTGTATGTGTGATTACGTGCAGAATTTCTGAAGTATAGATGTACAGACTGATAAATCTGCCATTAAAAGGTCACGTGTTTTAAGGGTTGTCCCCCCTTACAGTGAAAAATAAACTCAAAATTTATCGTCTGCTCCACCATACTTAACTATGAACATGTTTGGCTGTCAATCGACTAACACATCAGAAACTCCGTAGTTAAGAAATGTTGGTACAAGAAATGTTATAAGTAAGTGATATTTATTTCAAATCAGATTAATTTAACTTTAAATTTGTTAACTTTTCTCAAATAAAGTTTCAGAAATATATATTTTATTTTTGCAAGATTTTTAAATCTTTTGTTTACAAAAGTGTCAAAAATGGCCGTTTTGATTGATTTTACTGAAAAAAAAATCGATTCCGATCAATACAATTTATGTTTGAAATATATCACAGACTATTTTGCTTACTGGAAATAGTAAATTTTAAATCCTTTAGATTCCATTTGAAGCTAAAATGAAAGCTTCAAGAAAGCTTCTTCATTTTAAAAAAATCATTTTAAACCTTACGTATACCCAATTAGTGTACTTATATATATATATATATATATATATATATATATATATATATATATATATATATATATATATGTATTAGTAAGTAGTAGGGTAGATTGGGCTAAGAGAATAGTAACACTGAGTTTAAAGCTGTGTAGAAAATGCAACGGGAAACTACTATTTTTTATTTCCCAATATAGTTATAGCAATTCATTGACACTACAGAGAAGAAACCTGTGGAGGCGCAGAAGTTAACAAAAGATCATTGTCATGTTGGGACTAATTTTCGCAAGTAAATAGGTAATTCCCTGGATCACGAAACGGCATAGCATAGAATAATTAATCTAAGTGTAAATTCCAGCTTACCTATCTTGTGTTTATTTCACACAAATTCCTAGAGGAAAGGCGTTTAAAAATTAACGTCATACAACTTGGTGCACGTTATTTAAGGGAGTGATAAATATCGCCAATTAAACTCCTTACTCTGCGAGGAATGTCACGAAAGTCCAGCATAATACACATATATGAGCTACTAGATGATAGAATCCTTCGCCTCTCCGTTAGTAACATTCTACACTTCTATGAAGAATAGGGTCATAGTCTCAGGACTAGTATTATCGTTGTGGTTTTGTCAATTAGGAATTGTTGTTTTCCTAAATTGGTTGCCAATCAAGACTCAAGAACAAAGTCTGCCATGATATTTAGCCCATAGCTGAGGGAGAAGGCATGTATTCATACATTTACTAAGAGTATTTCTGAGAAAGTGAATTCAATGAACATAGATGGAATCTCTACTCGGCACGTCAGTTACACTTTCCGCGTCAATGATGGCCACTCGACATGCACTTCTGAGTAACATTGCAAATATTTAACTGATCCATCTTGTAGCATGGACAGAAGAACGAGAGAAATTTATCCACTTAGACGGAATAAAGGGAGGAGTTCCAGATTTCCAAAAGTTTGTAAAAATGAACAACGGAATATACAATGGGCGAAACGTCGTGAAGATAAAAAATAAAGATGGCGACATTAGTCCGAATGATTAAGCGAATAGCATTTGTAAGAAGACTCATCCAGAATTTGAAGTCGGTTCGTAGATTTCACTTTCCGCGCCCATAACTGATGCAGTAAAAACTGATCGCCAGTGATTTAACTTTTTGCTAAAATAAAATTAAACAATTATCATAAAATAATTTCCTTCTTTTAATATTGAGAAGAGAATTGCGGCTTTTCAGGATTTGTAAATTTAAAAAGACTAAATAAAATGCAAGTATTAACAAATAGTGCTGTTGATTGTGAATAAAGCGAAAACGTCTTCACCTATGTTCTGTAGATAAAATAATATTGGGTCAGACAGTGTCCTGTAAATAAAGTCCGGTCTGAAGATCCCGGATGTATTGCAACAGACAATTATTTCTTTACTATTAAGTCATTTCACAAGTACATCTGACGTGCATTATATTGAATGTTTTAATGCCAATGCTACGACTGTCTACCAAACTGATTCTTATTTTTAAATAACATTGTAGACTAATTGACCATGGTTAAGTGTAGTCGGCAAGAAAACCCAACAAACAGAATTGACAGTTTCGAATAAACAATAAGAAAAGTACGAAAAGAACAGGGCAAACATAATGCTGAACATACAATATATATATCTATATGCAAGGCAAAAATAGGCAAAGAAACAAAAGTAGGTAAAGAAACAACAATAAGGCAAAAAGTTCACAAATTAAGAATTGTTAACACACAAAAGGGACACACAGTCAAGTGATTGCAGAGTTTTAAGTTCAAGACAAGAAAGAACAAAAACCATCGTGGATGAGACCGAGAAATAGTTTGTCATATTGATTAGAAAAAAATCTGCATATACATCTGTACAATTTGTCTATAAATTTGGGGAGGGGAACATTTTTGCAGTCATACCCTTTAAATTGGAACCATCCATATATAAAAACGAAGAATATTTTGGAATTTGATTTTGAAATCTTAAATCAACGTTATCTTTCTTTGATAATTAGTGGTTCTCATATATTATAGAAATGTTAGAACGTCTGATTCATAATTCTTACTACGATAAATGTTATATTTAGTGGCTACACGTGTTTCATATGAATCGATTTACTGATTCGTTTTTTTTTTTACGGTTTATCAATCCTTTGCGGGTTATTTAATGCCAGAACATATTTTAGAGTGTAACAATGTTCTTTTTTTTTTAGATAATAATTATTTTAGTAATAGAATTCTTACTAATTAACCCATAGTTGGGTGAAGAAGAAATGGATTTATACTTAAGTCTATTTACCTGTAAGTGAAACAAACCCAACGGGAATTAGAACTCGGCTCTTCGCTTAACAATTTCGAGCCATTATCCATTACACCAACCGCACATACAAGTTTACAGCATCTGGTCTTCCCAAGCGAGCACCCATCTAGGTACTGACCAGACTCGACGTTGCTTAACTTTGATGATCGCACGAGAGCCAGTGTTTCAGTATGGTGTGGCCGTAATCCCTTAAAACTTAAAGACATTTAGGCCATGGGGAGCCATCATAAGGAGGATACGATTAATTACCCTATTTAAGGAACGTACTCGTTTGCAATCGTTCAAAGTCTTGATCTGCCAACTTTATTTTCCGTCACGAAACATAAACAAAGTCATTTTTAAGCAGTTAATGGATTTTTAATCCGACATTATTTCTTATTACTCTAAATTTATATTTAGTGAGAACACGTGTTTGAGTAGACGCTCTGTTTTAAAACAGTGGGATTAATGTCTACCGGCCTAGAGATCGAGAAGTCCTACTAAATAGAATGCACCATCGATCCACTATTAAGCTAATTGTGTCTTACCATTTAGGGCACGGAAAACCATCATGACAAATTAGAACTCACTCACTGTATTGTAGATATGCACATCTCCCGTTGGGATATTCGATATTTAACTTCAGCATTGTACCCGAAATCTAAGCAAATTAATTTTAAGCAATTAACTTTTTTTTTTTAATTCGACATTATTGAAACATCAAACGGAAATGAAAGTCTTATATTAAAATAATCAATTAGATTAGTACAGGAGCTCTGTGGTTCAGTACACAAGGGTTGGCACTAAATATGATATACATGGGAGGAGAAGTGTACGAGAAAATGCAACAGATATACGCAGAAGGCCGAATTGTAAGGCGGCCAAAATGTGGTAAAACAGAAAAAAAAAACAAAAAAAAAACGAGAGCATTTTTTCAAATGCAATATAAAGATATATACAATAAAAAACAAATAATTTTAAAACTTATAATAAAAGCAATCACCCGATAATTATTTCAGAAGTAAAAATAGAGAGAGAGAGAGAGAGAGAGAGAGAGAGAGAGAGAGAGAGAGAGGGGATTTTATTCTATATCTAGGTACACTAAATATCCTTAACCAGAAAAAATGTGCTCATCTTATTTCAGCTCCAACACTTCCAGCTAAAAAAAAAAAAGTGATAAAAAATCTCAAATCTATTTATCAGCGAATTCTCAAACGGAAGAAGAAAAAAAATGGCTGAAGCCTTTACACTCAGTTGAACAATTTTCGTTATCCGCCATTTTATTTTTATTATTTCCCCAACCTTTTGAATAATGGCGGGTTTGAAACAAACTAAATAAATGAATAAATAAAAAAAAGGTGTTTGACACCAAAGAGAAAAAAAAAACGTTGGTGACAAGAAATGTGTTTTTTCCAAAGAGGCCAGGAAGTGAAAAAAGAAAAGAAAACCTATTTATTCTCTCTTTTAATTTGATCATTTCTTTGTATTTTGACTCCATTTTTTTCCTTTTTCCTTATTTTCTGTTCTCTTTCCTTTATGCTTTCTTTATTATTATTTTTGTTTGTATTTTTTTGTATTTCCTGTTTCCATTTATCTTCCAAACAACCCCCAGATTTAAAAAAAAGAAAGAAAAGAAGCTAAATATTTTCTCCCATCGTTTCTTTGAGCTTATTTACTAAACTTCTTTTTCTCTCCATTTTTTACTTCTTTCTTTTTCTTTTTCTTTTTGGCTCTTCCCAGATTCTTTTTATCTTTCTCCTTACATTCTTGATGCATTTTACACTTTTTCTGAAATTTATTTCTCTTCCGAAATATTTCTTTCTTTCTTTCTTTCTTTCTTTCTTTCTTTCTTTCTTTCTTTCTAATTCCTTTTTTCCTTCCACGATTTCGCCAGTTCTTGTTTTCTTCTTGATATTTTTTATGTCCATTGTCCTTCCTCCCCCCCCTCTTTTTTATCCCACCCTATTAACTCACTGCCTTTCTCTTTTCCACGTTGCCCATTTATCAATTTGGGAAAGGGACACATTAAAAAACTTATTATTTGATATCTTTCAAACATTCTACGAAAAGTATCTGTGACATTTAGGATAACAGACATTACACGCAACTTCCCTTTTGTTCGGGACATGTGGAACGCTTCTGTGTGTGTGGACAGAACAACGTGTACTCCCCTATTTCGAGGCGCACAAGTGGTTATCTCGAAAAAAAAAACCCTAAAAAAACTACAACAGCAACAACAAAACAAGACAGTTTCTTCGTAGTTTAGATCAAGAACAAAAGTTTTTCTTTTCAATTTATGATTGTCATATGCTGCCATTGACAGAACAATAACTCTTTCCAACAATGTCAGCAATTTAGTGAATATATTCAACAATTTATGTGGGATGATCTATCTGCATTATTTTATTACTTTGTGTATTTATTTATTAAGCACATTTTCTTGTAACTCAAACACACAATTGTGAGGTGGATATTGAGGTTCAAATTCAAAACGCTGTCAGCAAAGAGGTTAGTAATCATTACATTAACTTATTAATCTTAGTCTTTTAGATTCAAGCTAAAAATGTGGGATTCGAAGTAAGGATTGAATACACTTTAGTAACAGGGGTTTGCCAAACTATTTTGCGGGTCATTAAACCATCATACTGTCTCTTTCTCTATTCAAAATATTTAAAATTTATTCGCCCATAAACAAACTCGCTTAGGCTTCTTGAATCTATTTATCAGCAGAATACGGAGACCCATTCTCATTTTTGTGGGTTGGTCGGTTCTTCAATGACACAGATTTAATTTATTTAAATGTTTTATTTTGATTAAATGAGTTCACCCACTACAAACAAATGTATATATATATATATATATATATATATATATATATATATATATATATATATATATATATAGAGAGGGTGTTTCATTAAGACGGATCAAAGCAGTTAATAACTCAGTGTTATTGTTGGAAATGTATTTATTTCTCTATTGGATCATACTATTTAAGTCATGGCATTTATGTGTGAAAAATAATATCGCCCAAATGTCTGCCAAGGCTTCGGCGACACACCTCCACTCGATGGTCAAAGTTTTTGATGACGTCTCTGCATAGTTACTCCTCGATCTCATCAATATGCCTTATTATCTCATCCTTCAGCTGTTGAATTGTTATTGTTTTGTTGGCATAGACCTTACTTTTGAGATGACTCCCAAAGGAAGTAATCTAAAGGCGTCAAGTCGCACGATCGTGGTGGCCAATTGACTTCGTTGTTTCGACAGATGATGCGACCTGGGAACTTCTCATTGCATTTCTATTTGAACGTTCATTTTCGTAATAGGCTTCGATAACTTTAACATGTTGTTTGATTGTTAATCTTTCCATGGTAGAAATTGCCAAAGCCTTAAGTTGTTAAATCTGAAAGAAAAAGGAAAAAAATCATTAGACGCTTAAACTTATTTCCCATTTAAAATCGATCCAAGTTATACACCCTTTATTTGTACATATTCAAAAGATGTTATAATCATGGGTGTATTATGACCCCCATCCCGAGAAAATGCGGCATTTTGGTACATGTTCGGAGTGAATGGGGAGAGAGAGAGAGAGAGAGAGAGAGAGAGAGAGAGAGAGAGAGAGAGAGAGAGGAGGAGGAGGAGGTCTTGTGTCATTTTTTAGAGTGAATGGGTCGTGATACCGATTAGCTATGAATAGGATAGCCAGCCCTTTCACACAACCTCTTCGGCTTTGTACCATATACAAATGTACACATTTATAAAATAAGTATGAATAAACACGTTTGGAGGTGTGCGCTTTAAAGCAATGCTAAGTAAGCTTCACTTTTAGTGTTCTGAGTTTGGACCTCACTGATTGCTTCACTGGGTCAATTGTCTAGAGTAAAGTAACAATTTGTCGTAAAACAACATATAAAAATTGGGCTTACATAGCACAGTAAATAAAGAGTGTATGTCCGAATATTAATGCCTTGTGTGGGACTTAAGATAAGTAAACGTCTAAAGGTGCCGGACATAAGGCGATAGAGATGGCAACAATTCCACACTCTATTTTAGGTGTAGATGGTTTGATCATCACTGATCTTTTATTGTAATCTTGTATTTCGATTGCAGTTTTATCCTTTTTCTAAAATTATACCCATGTTTTTTTTTTTTATCAATTTACCCTAAGCAATGTCACTAAGACGCAAGGCGCCACTGGGAATGAAAGAAAATAAGAAGACATTAGAAGGAACCAGAAACCCAATCCTGAACAGGAAAAAAGGGATAACCTCTATTCCTGTTCAAAAGACAGGGGAGGAGTATAAAACGGACGATTAAATTAGTTGGAGGGCAACTTGATAATTGGTGACCTTTTATTACAATCTTGTAGATCGAGTGCAATTTGATCGGGGGTGTTCTTTTATTGTAATCTTGCATCTTGAGATCAGTTTGATCCCCGGCGCCCTTTTATTATAATCTTGTAGCCTGATTGTAGTTTGATCCGCCGTACCATCTTTATTATAATCTTTCAACTTGAGTGCAGTTTGATCTACGGTGTCATTTTATTATAATCAGTTCACTATGTTGTGTGAGACAATTGTTATAGTCTATCATTCATCAGTGTATCAAATATTCCTGGTTTGATATTTTCGATATATATATATATATATATATATATATATATATATATATATATTATGGCATAAAAAGCAAGAAATTTTATATTATAGGCCATGATAGATTTAAAATAAAAACAAAAACATACACCAGTCGACCGGTTTCGTCCCCTCTCATCAGAACTGTTAACGGGGAACACAAATTATGAAGAGAAAAAAAAAACAAAAAACAAAAGTCTGTCATGGATGATGTGATGAATGGACAGAGAGAAAAAAATATAATTATAAAAATTATACCAACAAAGATGATAGAAGCGCAGCACAGCAAGTCCAAGCAAACAATCTCATTGTTTACAAAGAGCAGGTCGCCTGGACCTGATGTACAGCGTCTCCAACACCTTAAGATGAAATAATGAGTGTGCTCTGGCCAAAACGGAAAACCAGTTCACACTGAAATCCATCGCACAAGTGGGATCCCTTATAAAGTGATCCGCGATCGAAGACCCAGTTTCAGGCGATTCAGAGATTGAGCTTGCTATCTTGGCCCATGGCCTAGACTTTAGCATTCCTTTTACTTCTATTAGTAGGGAGAATATTTTTTCTGAATT